CATAATTAAATTTTAATGTAAAATTCATAGCACCCTGATTGTTGAATGTTATATCATCAATAATTTTGTGTATTCTGTGAATTCTATATATTTCGTATTGCGATCAGCATTCAAGATAGCTCCATTTCTATCCGCAAATAGTTTCAAATGAGTTAAAAATAACATCTGAGGAGAAATACTAATGCAATCATTTAACCTATTTAGCAAGGGAGATTCTATGGTCTTTTGACCTACATCCAAGTCAGTTTCATAGATCTGTAGCTAGAACATCCTGTTACTGGTTACACTTGACATGTAATGGGTGGTAATTTGACACTTTGATTGTGAAGCAAAGAGCTAAGAGACACGTGTCTGTATGAAATTTATAAAATTACTGCCAAAGAGTTAATGGCTGTGGGTCAGTTTAAATGTCCCCAACTCTATAAATTCAGCGCTACTTTTCTCAATTCATAGAAATCACAAACAAAATAAAAGTGAAGTATCTCTTTCCCCCAAGGATGAACAGAAAAGAAACTTGCCAAAAAATAAAATTTAACAAATGATGTGTTAGATTGGCTTTGCTTCTAGTGTGTACATGGAAGCACTGACCTTAGGTTGAATTTAACAACTAAGAATAAATAAAGAGGAAAATAACTTTAATCTCTTGTATTTTTGTTTCTACCTCAAAAGTCAGTTGACATGTAATTGGTAATCAATCCAGGTGAAAATGTAGGATACTCAAGTTATTATGGCCTAAGAAATCGAAATAAATGTCAGTCTGCCTGATTCAGTGGATTACTGGATGCCTTAAAGGAGCCTCTGACATCAAGATTTACAAAGAAATCTCAAAAAATGCAAGTATTTGGGAGTCCTTTGCCCAACTGACATGATCAAATAGTTCTTGGTGAAAGATTTCCTTGACAGAAATAGGAGGGATATACAGATTTCCTACAGTCATCTGTTCATTACAGATGAAATGGCTATTCATTATGAAGTGTACACCAAAATAAAGAGCAGGTACACCAAAATAAGTAGCACCGAGAAAGAAAGAAAAACAACAGCCACAGGAAGTCTGATAGGAGTATAATCTGGGGGGACTCCCTAGAAAGCTAATAACAATAATAATAGTCATGAATCCAGCACCCAGCCTGTTATGGTGAACTTTAACACCTGAGCACTGTCAGGGAAAGAATTCTTATAACTCAGCTGAATCAGTCACCCTTACCTGTAAGTGACAGGCCTGCCTCCTGGAGCAGAAAACAGAAGAATGGAAGACGACTGTGACAGGACAAATCTAAGATAGCTTATACACACCTATCTCATATCATAGACAAAATTCATTCCAGGTGTTTTATCAGTCCAAATGCAAAAGGTACACAGACAACAACCTCTTAGGATATCTTCCACTCCTCATGCATAGGAGGATTCCTTAACAACCAATAATGAAAAAAACAGATTGAAAAATTGGATTCCTTAACAACTAATTTTGAAAAAAACAGATTGGAAAAACTTAAGAACTCTACTCACAAAAAAGTCACTACTAAGAAAGTGAAAAATCAAACATGAGAGTGTGAGAAGATATTTGGGTTGGCTCAAAATCTTGGGAGTTTTCCAGGTGAAATCTGAAATTTTTCACCATAGCTAGAGGGCAATGAGAGACTGAAGAAGCAGGCCACTCCAAATTACAGGTACCAGATTAATAAGCAAGGAAACTTACTTAGGAGGTTGGTCCTGGGCAACCCCACAACCAGTAAATGCCCACACCATCCACCCGAATCTTAAAGCTTATACAGAGGCCTTAACCAGCTTCAGTCATGTAGTATGTGGTCCAGGTGGTTTCAACAAGGCATTGCCTTCTCCAGGCTGCGTCCTTGAAAACCGGTCCAGCCTGAAACCGAGGAGGACACGTGGAACCAACATTCCAAGGATGGGGGATGGGTGAGAAACCTCTGATTGCAGGTACAGCTCTTGGGTCAACCAGTGGTCATGTCCTCTTGATGACCTCCCGCATCAATTTGTAACACATAATTGACAAAGGTACATATCCAGAAATATATAAACATTACTCTAAAAATAAATCTTAAAAAGCATAACCCAAAAGATGTGTGAGAAATTTAAACAGACATTTTACAAATAAAAAAAAGACCTCTAAATAGCCAAAATAAATAAAAGCAATCAACTTTATTAGTACTCAGGAGAAATACAAATTAAAACAAATGGGATACTGCTATGCACTCATCAGAAAAGTTCAAGAGATTTTGAATGCTGAGTATTGGTGAGGTTGTAGCACAGTGGAAATTCTTACTGCTGGGTAGAAAGTTAAATCGAGATAATTCTGGAAAGGTCTTTGGCAGTATCTACCAAATTTGAATATATACAGACACCTTATAACCCAGCAATTTCACTTTTAGGTTTTATCAACTCGACAGAGAAAGGTCTGTACAGTCACCAAAAGAAAAGAAGGTTTACAGTTGCATCTAGCATCATATTTGGCATATCTGCAAACTAGAAACCCAAATGTCCTCCAAGAGTCAAACTAATATATAAACTGTTGTATATTCATGCAATGGAATGTTATATAGCAAGGAGAATACATCAACAATTGTCACACAGGTAAAAACCAGAAACGGAAGAATACTTAGTGTGTGATTCTACATAGATAAACAAAAGTAGCTTAGCTCTTTTGTTAGAAGTCAAGATAGTGACTAGTTTCATAAAAGGGAAGTCGGGCTTCTGGATTCCTGGTGATGTTTTGTTTTTTACCCAGGTAGTGGTTACACAAGTGTATCCATTTTGTGATAATTCATGATTTGTGTGCATTAAGAAATCCTACATCAAATAAAAGGTTTAAAAAAACAATGGTGTGTGAGCAGGAATTTAGGGAGGCCTCTTTGAAGAAGCCAGCCCCCCAAAATCAGGAAAAGCACATTCCTAGGACAAATAAGCACCTAGTGCAAAGGGTTCTAGGTCAAACAACCCCAAGGAATGGAAAGAAAGCTGCTGCGGCAGAGCGTGGGTTCAGGGGAGAGTGTATTTGAGGCAGAGCAGGCAGCTCCTCCACTGCCAAGGTAAATTGAGATTTTATAATTAAGTGCCATTTATTCTGTCTTCAAACATAAGGATTATTTTACCTCACAGTCAAGAAATTTAAGATGTCAGAAGAAATTCAAATTAAAGAGATTCAAGTTGAGAATGAAGTTAGGAAAGCCTAATAGTTTTATGTCCAATAAACAAAATAACAAAATTGATCAAGAACAAAAGAAAATAAGCTTTTCCCCTCAAAAGCCTTTGCAAGAGAACTATATCTCATCGACACCCTGTTACTGCCTCTTGGCTTTAAATTATGATCCCAATAAATAGTCAAATTGGGAAGGAAATGACCTTGACTAATTGAGTGACCTAAGGCAAGTTCATAACTTCCCTGAACTCTCAGTGTCCTCGATTATAAAATGAAGGGGTTAAGACATATCTTCTAAGATTTCCCAGCTCCAAAATTCCATTATTCAAAGTCACTTAAATTCTCGCTGCTTTAGTTTTTGCCACAAGAACAATGTAACAACAGCTGTTACTCCATACTTGAAACATTTCTTGGAGGGGTTTTCATATATGGATTGTAAGGTTGGTGATATTGCTACCAATAGCCCTCCCTTTAACTTACTGAATATTAACTTTTCCAGTATTGGAAGCAAGACCCTTCAAAATGGCACTAAATGGAATGGCAAAGTGATAATTCTTAAGGTGAAACACTGATATGGTTACAGCCCCCAGTCATTATATATAGTAACTATTCATCAATAATGTCTCTTTCAGACTTTCTAAAAATTTCAATTAATTGATATTCCCATAATTTCTCTTTTCTGGCCTTCTCTTCCATGTTTACAATCTTTTCTTCCTCATTCAACATTGGTAATAGACTATAATAATGATGGGGCCCCTCAGTAGCTCAGTTGGTTGGGCGACAGCCTTTGACTCAGGTCATGATCCTGGAGTCCCAGGATCGAGTCCCTGCTTGATCCCCTGCTCAATTGGGCTCCCAGCTCAGCAGGGAGTCTGCTTCTCACCCTGACCCTCCACTTTTCATGCTTTCTCTCTCTATCTCTCAAATAAATAAAATCTTAAAAACAAAAACAATGAGGGGCACCTGGGTCGTGCAGTTGGTTAAGCATTCCACTGTTGGTTTCAGCTCAGGTCCTGATCACAGGGTCCTAGGATCTAGTCCTGCATCCACCTCCACGCTCAGCACAGAAGTCTGCTAAAGTTTCTCTCTCTCTCTCTCCCTCCCTCTCTCTCTGCCCCTCACCCTTGCACTCTCTTAAAAAAATAGAGCTTTAAATATATATATATACATAGACATATATATATGCACAGAATTATATATTATCATATATAATATGTATTATCTATATTATATATAAAAAATAATGATGCAAACTCTAATAATAGAAGAAAAATGTGTTTAAAAACTTAGACAAATTTTTTTACAAGACCCAATTAAGACACCAATAGGTAAAAAAAGCAAACAGGAAGTTCACAAGTATAGAAAAGTATTCTAGAGCCCCAGTAAATAAACACATGCTTGAAGAGAAGCTATCATTTTTTACTTATGAAATTAGTAAATAGTTTGAAAATGAGAATACTCCATGCTGGTAGCTATTTGTTGAAACTGACACAATCACACACAGCTTAGGGTGTTCTAAACCCATACAAATCTTAGGAATAACAATTTGAAACTGTGTTTCAGGGGTCTTTAAAAGCTTCATAACCTTTGATTAATAATATTACTTCCAGAAATCTGTCACAAGGAGAAAATTCCAAATTCTAAAAGGTTTCACACCCAAAGATGTTCATCACAGTTTTTTAATATATTATACTGAAAATAAAAACCTAATTCTGAGAATAATTAAGTATGATACATATAAACCATGAAATACAAAAAAACATATTGATGAAAAACACAGTATCTGATTTGTCATACAATCTAAACTGTTTTAAAAAAGAGGAAAGTTGAAAAACACTGGGAAAAATATAAAGTTATAAAAAATGTAAACACTGAATATTAATTGAACCAAAATTAAGGATATGGTTTTATGGGTAGATTTAGTAGAGGGAAAGAGTATATTCTGGGGGAAAAAAAAACAGAAATGAACTCAAAAAAGCTGAAAAGCCTACTATATGGAAAGTGAGCTCGGAGAATTAAGGTGATGCTCTTTCTGTGCAAATTATATAAACAAGTTACCTTCATAAAGTATAAAATTAAATAAAAAAGCCAAAGACTGAAAATAAATATACCAAAGTATTAACAGAAACATCTTTAGGAAGTTAGTCTTAAATGTTTTCTACTCAATTCTCAAGTTTTCTATAATAACCAAGTCTTAAAGTGAAGGGATAGAATGACAGAAAGGCCCACCTTTCATTTGTGCATTTTACATTTTACAGTGTTTTCACTTTTTCACCTCCCTTATTCCTCATGAGAACCCCAGGAAGCAGATATTAAAATCCTGAATTTTATAAGGAGGAAAATAAAAAGCAATGAAACTTATACAAGCACATTTACATACTTACTGGCATCTTTTTTTCCCCTACACTATAAGAGGTATTAATAATTTGAAAAAGAAGATGTAGGCAGACAAGAAGAAAATGAGGGTTAGTATTAAGGATAAAATGCAGAATGTGCCTGCACTGTGAGAGTGTGAAGAAAAGCTCAGTATGATTGAGAATGTCAAGGCCACTTATTCCAAATCTATAATGTTACCCATTTATGTACACAATTTAATGTAAATTGTGTACACAATTAACTGTGAATTGTGGTAAGTGTTTCCATGTGGGACTTAGAGCATATATATTCAAACAGGAAAACTAGATTCCTTGGCCGATCTATTCAGAGTAGCTAAGATGGAAGTTAGTTCCTTCTCTTGGTAATTTGAGCAATGGAGACAGTCAGTTTATAGAGATCATGTTTACGAGTAATTCCTTTGAAAACAAAATAGACTTTTTTAAATATAAGCTCAAAATTACAGCTATATACATTTGAGACTGTGGGTTTATTATTTGATTCTCAGGATGACAAATTAGTCAAACCACTTATGAAATGAAATGAAATGACACACAAAAATATTTTATAAGCTTGTTCATCGTTTCTACCTAGCGAAATCTAGTCGTCTTTTAAAGCTGAGATGGAATGCTATCTCCTAGGTGTCATTTTCTCTGCATTTTTGAGACAGAATGAATTATTTCCTCCTCCATACTTTTACACTGCTGGAATAATATTTATCACATTGCATCCACAAATAATTATTTATAGGTCTCTCTACCCTTCTAGATAATGTTTCAAGAAGGCAAAGGCTGTAGATGGTTCATGTTGTATCCTCAGTACCAAATAAAATGGCGGACTATAAGATAGGTCCTGGAAAAAGTTTGTTTGAATTAATATTGAGCTATCTAAAGAAGATAATTCACAAGTCCAGTGAAAAGGAAATCTAATGGAAAGGCAGAGTCCAATAAATCAGAGTCCATTAAATTTACTGTATACCATCACTTTCTTTTTTTAAGGCCCCATCATCACAGGCATTGTTTAATGCATAACTCAAATGCTACTTCAACCATTAAGATTCTCCTGATTTTTCCAGGCTATAATATCTGTTTCTTTCACTGCACTTCCAAGCATTTTTCCTCTACCATAGCCTTCTCTTACTTGCCTTTTTTTTAATTATTAAAAAAAATTCTGAAGGGAAAATATCCCATCTTACATATCTGTTAATGTACAATATCTACCTACCACTGGCCTGGCACATGATATACACTCAGTCCTGATTTGTTGATTAACAATTTATTAGACTTAAAAATAATTCAAAATATCATAAACTATAGCATTTCCCTCATAACCGAGATGAAGGCAAGAGTGGTCTTAGGAGCCTTTTGTCTTCCTGATGAGTCCTTCTATTGTGTCCCACTCCTCGTTGGTAACCTAACACAAACAGAAAAAGGCAATTTTATGTGGTTCTTGCATATTTTTAAAGCTTGGTATCTTAGCTGCTAATATATTATATTCACAAAATGGCATTACCTTTCTCAGACTGTTGAATTCCCCTGAAATAAAAACTTCCTCTCCACCATCAAATCTAATGACCTGAAAAAAAAATAACAAAAACTCTGAAACTAACTCCTTTTGAAAGTTTCTGAGTTAGCCATGTTCCCAAGATGGATGTAACATCTCCTTGGCGCTTTCAATCAAAACCCAAAGTTTGAAGACAAAAGTCATGATTAGACCCAATCTGATTTACTAATTTTAGAACCTCTTTCCCCCATCTCAACAAATTCAAATTCTACCCAATATTAAAGATTACCTTAAAGGCATGTCTACCAGAGTAATTGGCATTTAATAAAATTAATTTATCAATAAACTAACTCCATAGGCTAAACATCTATATTAATATTTTAACATTATTTACAGCTAAATAAATATTTTCTTTTTAACTTAATTTTATTTTTTCAGTGTTCCAAGATTCACTGTTTTTAAGTCATATTTATATTCAATACTGTCAGGAATGGTTCCACAATATGCCTTCCCACCCCAAATCCACCACCCCAAAAAGTCAAGAGAAAACAATACTTACTGCCCCATTAATCCAAGAAGCATAATCACTGCAAAGGTAAGCAGCAAGATTTGCAAGTTCTTCCACAGTTCCTAGCCGACCACAAGGAATTCTAGCAATCATTTCCTTCTCAAGTGTTCCCATTGGGTCAAGACGACTAAAGGCACCCTTAGAAATTGAGAAAATAGGTTGCATTAAAAAGAATTTAAGAAACTAGTTTGCACAAAATGGAATATTACTATGGCAGCCTGTTTATACCTCAGGCCTTGTAAACAACAAAGAATTTTGTCAAATTCTTCCAAAGTCACTTCAGCTCAAAACAGGTCATTTTACCTAATACTGACCTAAAAAAATCACCAGAAAATATAATCTTTTTACCCCCATCTATAAAGTGAGGAGAAAAACTGTTGTAAGCATCAAATGAGAAAATGTATATGAAAATACTCTGAAATCTGTACAAGCTTAGTGTGGGGGATGCCATGGTACTATGTTTGATTGAATAATCACAGAAGAGTGACTCAAGTGGGAAACCTTTAAAAGGAAATTCCTTTTCTTCCTTCTTCTCAAAATAACTGGAAAGGAAGAAAACAAGTATGTAGGAATATTAAACTGAAGTAGCTCCTAGAGGAAAAAAAACCCCTGTAACTAAATTTGCCAACGAATGTCTGCCTTCTACTAATGATACAAAGGTGCAGACCAAGATGAAGTATGCATGGGCACTGATTTTTTTAAAAAAAGAAGAAGATTGAATTTCTCTGTATCAGTGCCTGGAAGTCTAGGTGACAGTTTTCTTCAATAAAACCAGTGACAGAGCAAGGTTGCTCTCAGGAGACTCCTTGTAAGCCCTCTAGCCCTTTTGCCATCCCTGGGCAGGTATAACCCAGCAGAGACAAAGGGCAGCAACAGGTCCCAATTCTGGCTCTGTAGGGATTGCTGTGGAGTTTCTATACTTTGTTTTCTTTTCATCTCTTTAAAGCTACACACTTGTTCCTTGTGTACAACTGATACTTCTACTGCTACACTGTAAACTCCTTGATGGCAAATACTCTGTCACAAATGTTTGGTATCTTGCTTAGTACCTTTGCACATAGTAGTCACTCAAATATATTTTAAATAAATAAATAAAATGCAGGTGACCTTTCCTAGGGATTGAGGTCCTAAAAAGAAGCTTCTGTGACTCCAGGTTTCTCTTCAAAGAGTGTTCAGCACAGGGCTGCCCAGAATTATGTGTTTTAATGTATGCTTTTGAGTTATTTTTCCATTAATTGTATTAGATGCTTTATTACTAGAGTGTCAAACATGATAATCAAGTTTCATCCACTCAACTAGTTCTTCTTTCTATTTTGTACCCTTTGAATAACTAAATAAACTATGCAGCCATGTCCATATTGACATTTAGTACCCAGAACTACCTAAAATCCAAAATGCTCCTTAGCACTGTTCTCTAATGTATTTATACAATCAGAACAAGCTATCATACTTCACGTAGGCCTTTGGAGCTACAGGTCAGTTGGGATTGTAAATTCTTGCTTTACACAGAAACAAAGAGTGAGAGTGAAGTTATCTGGGGCAATGGGAGAGAACACAGAACCTGTGGGCCTTCTGGCCGTAACCGCATTAGTGGTCATTGTGAGTCGCAATGAGTATCTGTAAGCATTTTTTATTATAGGAGAAATGCCTGCCATCAGAAAGATTTGTAATCAGAGAGACATGGGAGTTATATGACATACATAATGGAGTGTTTACAAATGAAAGGCAAAGAAATGAGTCAAAGAAAATGCTACTTATAGAAAGACCAAGCCTCTATGATAACTTTCCAGAACATTTCTTAAAATAAAAATATACTTACATTTCCATGAACTAAAAAAGAGATGTCAATCAAAGTTAAGAGTCCATAAAATATGGTGAGGATTAAGAAATATAGGTTAATATCAGATTACTGAAGCAAATCAGACGAAATAGCAAAATGGATGGCACAAAAGATCCCAGATTAAGATGCTGAAATAGTTCTTATCGAGAAGTTACACAGCTGTTGTATTCCTGCCCACCTCCTCATTTATATTGGATAATAGCAAACCCCTCTTCCATACCACCAGGGCTCCAAAGTCAGGCATCTCTGACAAGTCCTGCACACAACAATCAGAATATTCCTATCAATGTTTCATTCCTTAATCATACAGGAGAGAATAGGCAAACTAAAACTTACTTTTGTTTTTATAGGCCCTGGTTGAATCACATTAAATCGCAGTCCATATTTACCCCATTCAGCTGCAAGAGACCTAAAAATTAAAAATATTTTAATATTCTAAAATATTATACTATATATTAAAAATAATAATTCAGACTCACTGCATGGTTTACTATATGCCAGAGACCACAACCCCAACAAGTAGGTACTATTATCATTCCTCATGTTACAGACAAGGAAACTGAGGCACAGAGAGATTAAATCACTTGCTCTGAGTCTTATTGCTAGTGAAAACCTCAAGTGGTCTACCTCCAGGTTTGTGCCTTTAATCACTCCACTATAATATCTACCATTTGCATTTTAGTGTTCTTAATCACAATGCTGTACTACCTACTCCTTATATTTAGAACTAAGTCCAATATCCAAATACATTATTAGAGTAAGTATCATAATTCAGCATAAACAGGTGAGAGAATCATGACCCTCCACCACACTTTCTGAAGTTCAGTGCAACATGTACTACCTATATATAGTACATTGAATTATAATGTTTGCAACATCATGAGTCCTTTTAAGGAAGAGATGGATTACATAGTTATAAAATATTAACCACATCCATGTTTAATGAGGCTTTAATACAATTGCTGCACTGCACTCAAAGGGAAATAGGAATCTAACAAAATCTTATTAAATGTCATGAAGCAAAACATAATAGTAGCAAACATGGAAACTTGAAGCAATCTGTTTTAAAAGCCTACTTGATAGGTCTAACTCCTACTTTCTAAACTCATTCTATGACTTTATAGTTATATATACATCTCTGTGTATATATACTGAGTCTAGCTTTATTTTTTTTATTTTATTTTTTTAAAGATTTTATTTATTCATTTGACAGAGAGAGAGAAATCACAAGTAGGCAGAGAGGCAGGCAGAGAGAGGGGGAAGCAGACTCCCCGCTGAGGAGAGAGCCTGATGCAGGGCTCGATCCCAGGACCCTGGGATCATGACCTGAGCCGAAGGCAGAGGCTTTAACCCACTGAGCCACCCAGGCGCCCCAGAGTCTAGCTTTAAAAAATGACTTAAGGTAATGACTTTTAAAAAATACAATGCAAATGAGGAAGATAAAATCGTTGAAAGGAAAGAGGGACAGAAAAAAGAAGGAACCAAGGAAGGAGAAAGGAATCAAAAAATGGGTAAGGAAAGATAAAAAAAAAAAAAAAAAAACAAGAAAGGAGCTAATACCTAAATGTTTTGTGGCATTTTATACAATCACAATAGGTTGGTCACAAATTTGCATCCACACTTTCTGAGAAGCCCTAATCAATTACATACTTTGCAGAGCCCATAATGGAAAGGCAAGTTAATTTCTCAGGAAAAGCACAATTGTTCTTGATTTAAAAAAAAAAAATCAGGGGCGCCTGGGTGGCTCAGTGGGTTAAGCCGCTGCCTTCGGCTCAGGTCATGATCTCAGGGTCCTGGGATCGAGTCCCGCATCGGGCTCTCTGCTCAGCAGGGAGCCTGCTTCCCTCTCTCTCTCTCTGCCTGCCTCTCTGTCTACTTGTGATCTCTCTCTGTCAAATAAACAAATAAAATCTTTAAAAAAAAAAAAAAAATCAGAAAAGCATTTCTTTCAAGAAGACTTCTAAAATGAAAAATGTGTAATATAGCAACACAATACTGTGTCCTTGCAATAGATACAAAGAGATAAGTCTTATGAAACTATAAGATATCAATTAATACATTCTGACAAGATCACTTCAAAGGCCAATTCAGCAAAACTCATTCACACTCAACAGGAGAGGGGGCAAGTGCTCCAACTACAATCTGCTAATCTATCTTAGTCCACGAGTGCATTTTAGAGAATGGGTGGACTGCACCTCTTTCAGGCAACTCATACATCAAAACTGCTTCTGAGTGATGCTTTTGACAGAATTCATGACCATACCTCCCCTTGGCATGTACTTGTACTGCACTTGCTAAGAAAGTAGCAACTTCATGTCTTAACAGAATTACGAGCTGATTGGATTAACATAGTAGTACTCACTTGCTCATGGCTTCCACTCCTGCTTTGGCAGAAGCACTTGGTACTACAAAACCTGACCCACTTTCAGCATAGATGGTTGTAATAGAAAGAAATACTGCTCCTGAAATTTGAAAAGGATATAGTAATTAACAATACAGCTAAGTCATTTCACATCAGGAAAACATGATTTAAAAGAATGGGATCTGATTCAAGAGGACATAACAAAAATGTAGCATCTTTTAAACTTCAGTAGCCCTAAATTAATGAGAGAGTAATCTAATGGAATTGCTACATCTTGCTAGTAATCTTGCTGTCATGCAAGATGACCCAGTCTGTGCTTACTTGAAATTCTATGGCAGGTGAGTCAGACGGTGACCCAAAACTCAGAGGCATGGCCATATAACCCCCTGCATAATCAGCTGGATGGGATTTCCATTAACTAAGCACCCACTTAAATAAGAATAAATCAGGGACACTTGGTTGGCTCAGTTGTTAAACATCTGCCTTGAGCTCAGGTCATGATCCCAGGGTCCTGGGATTGAGCCCCATGTCAGGCTCCCTGTTCAGCAGAAAGCATGCTTCTTCCTCTCCTTCTGTTGCTCCCCTCACTTTTGTTCACTCACTCTCTCTGACAAATAAATAAATAAAAATATTTTTAAAAAATAAGAACAAATAGAATCAAAACTATATTAGCAAGGACTTGACTTCCAGTCATGATGGACTTGCCCTCTCCCTGTAAATAGCAAGAAAACTGGGGGCGCCTGGGTGGCTCAGTGGGTTGGGCCGCTGCCTTCGGCTCGGGTCATGATCTCGGGGTCCTGGGATCGAGCCCCGCATCGGGCTCTCTCCTCGGCAGGGAGCCTGCTTCCCCCTCTCTCTCTGCCTGCCTTTCTGCCTACTTATGATCTCTGTCTGTCAAATAAATAAATAAAAAATCTTAAAAAAAGAAAAGAAAAAAGAAAACTGTATAAGATACATAATTATATGATACAACTATTTTCAGTACTGTATAGCAAGCAGGGAAAGACAATGACTCCTGAGAGAAGACAAATGAAATGAGCCCTAAGGTCACCCCAGATTTTTGCCTAAAGGTATATATATATATACACACTATATTATATGTATATACTATATATATGTATATACTATACAATATACTATGGTGTATACTACAAATATTCACATTATACACACACACACACACACACATGAACTGTACACTAAACAGACTATGAAATAAGGAGGAGAAATACAAGTAAAACATGGCATTCTCACTGAGTTGAGGAAACAGATTTCAGAGTTTGGGGAGACTGAGGAAGTTGAAATTTGTGAGGAGAGTTCTCCCAAGGAGGGAAGGACACAGAGACAGAGTTCCATAAATCTGCATAGTATCTCCTCGAGTTTTGGCCAAAATCAAGCTATACATGTTTAGGGAGAGATTTCATTAGACCAGGCAAAGAACCGTCAGGGAGCTGTACGCTATGCAATTCCTAGAGCTCACATGGGCGGGGAGATAAGTGAGTTCTAGGCAGCTTCACTGAACATCCAGGATTTTCAGTGGAGAATTCAGAAAGGCCATGCCTTATTAGGAGAGCTAAATTAGCTCAAAAATAAAGGCTACTCTAGATGTACCCAAATAAAGCTAAAAATGAACACTGAAATGCTCGAGCTGATCTAATGACTTTTGCTAGACACCCTATTTTCCTATTTTACAGATGTTTAATCCTCAACCCAGAGCAGGAAAGTGACTTGGTCAAGGTCAGCAGCTGTACAACTAGTAAATAGTAGACTCGATATTCAGGTCCAGATATCTTTATACTATTCTACCTCTGTTGGTTATGGGAACTAAAATTGTTTATTATTTTAGTTTTCATAACTTGGATTGAAACTAGATTTTAGAACATTTGAGTCTTTTGAAACTGGACATAATCTTATATTCTATTATTTTTAATGACAATGTGATTTTTTTAGAAGAAGATTTTATTTTTAGGTAATCTCTACACCCAGCATGGTGCTTGAACTTAACGGGGACATCAAGAGTCACATGCTCCACCGACTCTGCCTCTAGACTGTGACTTTTAGTGTTTCCTTGTTATTATCTTTCCCATTTTGAAGTAATGAAGCCACTTGCAGCTTGCAATCTGTGATGACAGAGTTTGTTTCTCTTACAAAGGCCCCATCACCGGGGGTGGTGTGATCCCACACATCCACAAGTCTCTCTGATTGGAAAGGGGCAGCAGAGACCCTTAGAGCATTGTTTTAACCAATCCCCTTCCTCCCTGTCATTGCACTGTAACTGGGACAGAAGAAATAATGGGGATTGTGGAATTTTTGTAAGAGGCAGACAGAAAAGCATAGACAATTAGTGTGGGCATTTAAGAGACACTTGTACATTCTTAGGCTCAAAGTTTGATAAAGTACCTTTCCATGTGGCAGCACTTAGTGTCAATTTGCTAGGTTTCTCTGTGTGTTTTATACAAAAATGGAATTGATAAACCATTTTCTAACAACAACAAAAAAAAAATGACAAGCTATTGCTCCCTTTCTTCATTTATTTGACCTCAATAAATAACAGATTCATTTCTGCTTGTCTGCACTGGGATGTTAGAAATTTGTCATTTCCAAACCTCTTCTATAAGAAGGTATTCTAATTTAAAGAGTTGGCCTTGGGATACCTGGGTGGCTCAGTCAGTTAAGCGTCTGCCTGCGGCTCAGGTCATGATCCCAAGGTCCTGGGATCAAATCCTGCATCAGGCTCCTTGCTTAGTGGGGAGCCCTCTTCTCCCTCTGCCTGCTGCTCCCCCTGCTTGTGCTCTTTCTTTCTCTCTGACAAATAAATAAAATCTTTAAAAAATAAAAACATTAAAAAATTAAAGAATTGGCCTTTCTGCAAAAAGAAAAATATATCAATAACTAACCCTGGGAATCTGAGAATTTTTTATTTTCGAGTTTTTAGCACCACTGTTAATTTTTTTTTTTTTTTTTAAGAATTACTCATTTATTTTAGAGAGTATGCATGAGTGGGGTAGGGGCAGAAGCAGAGAGAGAGAAATGCTCAAGCAAACTCCACACTGAGCATGGAGCCCGACATGGGGATTTGTCCCAGGATCATGACCTGAGCCAAAATCAAGAGTCAGAGAGTTAACCAGTTGAGACACCCAGGCACTCCACCACTGTTCATTCTTTAAAGTCCAGCTGTATTGTTCTACTCTGCAGCATTAACCCAATTAGGATAGTACAGTAGAATTTTACCACCTCCTTACACTCAAGGGCAGTGCTGTCTCATTCTAAGCAGTGGGCAACCCAGCTCTTCAAGGCTGCGAAAATAAAACCTAAAGGGAGAAAGAAGAGGACAGTATCTTTCATCTTCAGTTTCTCAATTATATAAAATGCTTTAATTCTTCCTCTCCCACACCTGAATAAAATTTGTTAAATCTGAATCAGAAGTTAGAGCACTTTCTACTGCAGCACTTGCTTTATGTAAGTAAATATCACTTTTTAAAGTAGTTTTTATGGTTTTGCTCTAAGGGTGACGCAGTTAGCATCTGCTGTCAATGTTCTGTAATTGTGTATATGGTTGTTCTATATCCCTCCTTTTCCACAGTGTTTTGGAAGCAAAGTATTTTCAGAACTCTGAAAGAGGAAGAGTTTGATATACAAAAGGAGTTACCATAATGATTAACCATTCTTATTTCTCATACTCTCAGAATGGCACTCCTGCTCCCCTTTTCACCCCTCATGTTGGCCAGGATATGCTGAGTTTTGTTACTACTTTGGAAAATGCAGAGGGGAAGAGAGACTAAATATTTTTGGAGGAGGAATAAAATGTCTCTGAATATTCTTCAAATTATTTTTATTATCTTTCAAACCTGTATCCTTAAAATTTCTTAAAGTATGTACTGCTTTATAAAATATATAGTTTCATCCTTTTGCAAATATTAAACTTATAATATTTTTTAATGTAGGAGCTAAATAAGAAATAGAAAATTACTGATTTCTTGGCAGCTAAAGATTATTATTTTAAACTTTCATTTATTCATTCAATTTACTGAGAACCTATTATGTCCCAAGCATTGTTGATTATTGTAAGTTTGGTGTCTTTTTTAATATAGCTTTATACAGTGAGTTATTTTCAAAAGCAGCTTAGAAAACAAAAAATTTAAATATTTACTGATACATTTACTGTTTCTGACAGCCATCATTCCATCTGAATATTTGAGTTTCTATGTAGTCCTATTTAGAACATTTTTCAATATTTCTTGTAGACACATCTGCTGGCATTGAATTCTTGCAGCTTTTGTTTGTCAGAAAATACTGCTTTTATTTTTGAGAATATTTTGCTGTGTACTGAACTCAGGGCTAATAGGTTTTTGTTTTTTTCCTCTTTCAGCACCTTCAAGATGCTATTTTACTGTTCTCTAACATTGTTTTCTGACGATGTCAGTGAATATTTTTATTAACTGTTTCCCTTATTTATGTTGTTCTCTGTTTCCTCTGATTGCCATTACGATTTTCTCTTTTGGGTGCCTGGCTAGCTCAGTTGGTAGAACAGGTGATTCTTGATCTCAGGCTTATAATTTCAAGCCCCACTTTGGGTGTAGAGATTACTTAAAATAACATGTTGTTGAAAAAAGAAATTTTCTCTATTTATCATTGGTTTTGAGTGACTGATTATGATATGCCCTGACATGGTTTTCTTTGTATTTATCCTGCTTAGGATTTGTTTAGCACCCTGGATTTATAGATTGTAGTCTTTGCCAAATATGGAAAATTTTCAGTCTTTTTTTCTCCAAATGATTTTTCTGCCCCTTCCGTCTTTATGTTATCTTCATAATACATCAAAGTAAGATATATATGGTTGCTACAAGAAATTTTAACAAATGAAGTTTAAACGTTCCATCAAACTAGCAAGATAACTCTAGCAAACAGTAATTTTAAAAAGGATATTAACATTACCCTAATAAAGTCCAACTGATGACCAGAAATGTTTTTAAACATTCTTTAAATGTCCCCACTAGTCTAAGGAAGGCATGGACACAATACACAGAAAGATACTCATATGGTCCTACTATACTTTAAAATCTAAACAGCATTTAACTTGCACTCATACTACTGAAAGAT